GGGCGGGATTTTGAAGGGAAGTTAGCAAAAACTTTGGCTTGGTTGGTTTGTAAAGCCCATTGGCTGCATTTAGAAAAAGCCTTTTTTCTTTAGTCCAATTGCCAACCATTCAAAATGACTTGTGTGTTTTGATCAAATATGCCAACAGTTATCAAAGACCTATACTTAATTGTGGCCTGTAGTGATTTGTAACATGGAAATGTTCAGGTGATTGACTCCAAACAACCTGAGCACATGAGCAACGATGGCAGATTGAGTATGTTCTGCACCAGCCAAGAAACATCCACTGAGATGAATGGGAAGGATTGAGAACTGCAGGTATTATGCATTACTTTCTTGAGCAAAATGGTTGAAATCACTTGACTTTGCATCTTTGAGTTGATTTGCATATTGAATTGTGTGTGTGTGCATACTGAATTATGAGCGTCTTGCATCTGTTTAGCCATCTAGTCAGGCTAGATTTAATGTTTTGCAGAAAAAACAAGGCTTTGAGTGCTAAATGTGTGTGTGCAGAGCTGTCAAGCATGTTTTTCAAAGCCGTTTGTCACTAGAAAATGTTTCACACAGGTATGTTTTCAATGAGTGTCAATTATTCAGATGACGCGACAATAATGCCAGTTTTTTTTTTTTCACAATAATGCCAAAGTACGACCCATTGGACAGACTGTTTATGTGAAAAATTAAATATGGCGTCTATCGTGGTGGGAGTCGCTGCAAAGATGGTACTGCGCATGCGTATAGGCCTAATTCTTGTTGACAGCCAAGGAAAATCAAGAAAGGTGCCAGAGTTGTCTTGGTGAACACGCAGCGCCAGCTGAAGCTTGGGCTCTGATCCTCTGGGGTGACAGCAATACAGATTCATCACTCATGAGCGTACACTCTAAAAAATGCTGGGTTAAATACAACCCAGTGCTGGGTACAATAGGAGGTACGATTAATCGCGATTAACCGTTTGACAGCACTAATTATTATGTAAGAAAAAAAATGTGTAGAAACAATTTCCACTCAGAAATCGCTAAATTTCACAGTTTGCTGAAATAGTTTTTCACGTTTAAGCATCTTATGGCGACATTCACCACGATAGACGCCATATTTAAATTTTCACTTAATTTTCAATTTATTTACTTTTATTAGTTTTATTTTTATAGTTTTTGAATACAGATAAAAACGAATATAGCAATAATTTGGACGATAGCCTAAACAAAATTTTCTACGCAACCGATCTAACATAATGATTAAACGGCAAGTTTGCAACGAAAATCAAATCTTCTGGGAAAGCTTTTTGTGAATCGGTTTTTAAATCGGTTCTTCGAACGCCGATTCGGGTTCAAATGAATCGGTCTTCCGAACCATATACAATGCTAAAACTTACCACTTGCAAGTTCAAATGTATCTTATTTAATGGAGTAGAACCCCCGTTCTCCAAGTTTCCTACCCCAACCCGCCACACGGTGGATGTCTCGGCTCGCTCTTGCGCGCGTTAATGACTCGCTCCCCCTCGCTCACCGCTGCTGCTGATCAAAGGCGTTTGCAGCAGACCGCCCAGGATAGTCGTGGAGTCACAGAGCTCTGTTTCTAAGAAGGCTGGGTCAAAACAACCCAATTGCTGGGTTTGTCCCTATTTAACCCAGCATTTTTTAGAGTGTAAGATATACAGGTGGTGGTAATACTCCTAAGGAGTGAACGGCCATTGAACAAAAAGAAGAAGAGTTGTCTTGGCAACAGAAAAGCGGCTCCGATGCCGCACTTGTTATGGTGAAACAGTAGTGATGCCCGATTCGCGAATGAATCGTTCTTTAAAACGAATCTTTTTAATGAATCGGTCGAACTGATAGCCTATTGCACATAGCTACGAGAGTAAAGCAATATTGCTAACATTACTACTATAATCGGTATTAATAATTAACATTATTATTAGTGCTGTCAAACGATTAATCACGATTAATCGCATACAAAACATAACATATTTTTCTGAAATATATACATGCATGTGTGTGTATTTATATACCGTATACATAATAAATATACACAGTACACACACATATATTATGCAAACAAAACTTTTATTTTAGGTACGATTAATCGCGATTAACCGTTTGACAGCACTAATTATTATGTAAGAAAAAAAATGTGTAGAAACAATTTCCACTCAGAAATCGCTAAATTTCACAGTTTGCTGAAATAGTTTTTCACGTTTAAGCATCTTATGGCGACATTCACCACGATAGACGCCATATTTAAATTTTCACTTAATTTTCAATTTATTTACTTTTATTAGTTTTATTTTTATAGTTTTTGAATACAGATAAAAACGAATATAGCAATAATTTGGACGATAGCCTAAACAAAATTTTCTACGCAACCGATCTAACATAATGATTAAACGGCAAGTTTGCAACGAAAATCAAATCTTCTGGGAAAGCTTTTTGTGAATCGGTTTTTAAATCGGTTCTTCGAACGCCGATTCGGGTTCAAATGAATCGGTCTTCCGAACCATATACAATGCTAAAACTTACCACTTGCAAGTTCAAATGTATCTTATTTAATGGAGTAGAACCCCCGTTCTCCAAGTTTCCTACCCCAACCCGCCACACGGTGGATGTCTCGGCTCGCTCTTGCGCGCGTTAATGACTCGCTCCCCCTCGCTCACCGCTGCTGCTGATCAAAGGCGTTTGCAGCAGACCGCCCAGGATAGTCGTGGAGTCACAGAGCTCTGTTTCTCCTTCTGTTTGCGGATCATAACGGCTTCATATCAAGGCGTTTACACCACGAGACTATCCCGCAGCGATCGGCGTTTATTTTCTTCCGTTCTTCTCTGGCGATAAACCAGGCGAGCGCGGAAGAGAGCGCGCAGTAATGGGAAGATACAGCGTGTTTTCATTAGGTCACATTTCCGAGGAATGATCCATCCATCTGTCGATCACGTTTTACGAGCACAAACATCCTTCTTCACGCATTGGACGTAGACTTTCGGAGCACAGGAGAGTTTTGAGCACGCACGGCGTTTAAACAGAGGAAACCAACAGTTTTTACAAACACTTGGACCGAATTTCGGCGTCTCGTCGCTTCGCTGACACTCTTGATTTGATCTCTGGATGTATTTCTGCAGCTCTTGTGTGCTGGAGTGGTGTGCACCGTGCCAAACGCGCATAGATGTGAAATAACCCATGATGTTGCAGTTTTGGGGGTTTTCGGCTGAGATGTGTCTCATTTCATTTACTGAACTTCAGTGTTGCTCTGTTTGGCCATGAGTCTTCATCAGCAGCAGCAGCAGCATCATTATTAGAAAGCAGTTGTGTGTAACCACGTTGATGCTTGCCTTTTAAGGCATTTTAATATGCACGAATGTGACGCTTTCAGTTCAGGAAGCTTCAGTTTAGTCTTCTAGTTGCGCATCATCTTCAGAAATCTGTATGATTGTAGGGACGTAGCATGTATTGTGAGTTGATGTGTGATACATGCATGACATTATTGGCCACTTTAATGCTGCTTTAAGTTCATAAAGCGTCATCATCATCTGCAGTGTGTTTGCAGGCATTTGCTTGCCTAATAAGGTGTTTAATATGCATTATTGACACATGTTGGCTGTGCATACTAATATAGATTTCACAAATGCTGCTTTAACTTTTTAAAAGTGCATTTATGCTCATAAACGCATAATACCAGTTGAGCATCATTGCCATTTTCAGAAAGCAGTGTGTTTGCTGGCACTTTGCTTGCTTTTGAGACGTTTTAATATTCATTAATGTAATGTCTTTTGGCTGTGCATATTATTATATGCTACTTAAATGCTGCTTTAACTTGATAGAGAACATTTAAGTCCATATAGTTTCAATTTCGTGTCCTAGATGGGCATTAACAGCGTGTAGATTGTTTTGGCTGTGCTTAACACACTCTGGCATTTAAGACCTTAGTCTCATTTCGGTCTCCCAGATGAGATGTTGCGTGACTGCTCTGAAACGAAAGGAAGCTGGTTTTGAAGCAGTGAGCGCGCAATGACGCTGTTGTTGTGCGCAAATGTGTTGACGCCACCTGTGGTCTCTTAAACCGATCGATTCAGGAAGATTTAGGCACTTTGACCAGGAGAGAGTTCAGTTTGCACGGCAGCCGCGTCGCTTGCGCTTTCTAACCAAGTTTAAGTGTGTATCGTCCTGCGTCACGCGTAAGTGGAGAGTTTAAATGGTGCTCCGAAAGTTACCCGGTGTTTCAGCATCGGGCATGGGGCTTCGTCTGTCTCAGAAATTCGTGTTTCTGCTGTTCCTGTCGGGGTTGGTTACTCTGTGCTTCGGGGCACTTTTCTTTCTCCCCGACACCGTGCGCCTCAAGCGCATCTTCCTCTCCAAGAACGAGAATCCCGCGGTGACAGTGGGCCACGACAATGAGCTTTCCAAAAAGGTGCCAGGGGATCCAGAGCATCAGCGGGCAGCTTTAAAAGGGGGCGAGGGGGCGAATGTCAAGCTCAAAGTGAGCCGCAAGCCCTCGGTCACCCATGGAGCGAGAACCGTGGAGAGATCTGTTGGGAGTAGAGCGCAGGAGGAGTGGAGTCCGGCGAGGGCGCAGGAACCGGCGGCCAAAGACGAGCGGGTCACCTCGGCCGCTCACAACGGGGAACGCGGCAGCGCTTACAGCTATGAGGCGTTTAAATCGTGTCTGCTCAAACCAGCTTTGGGGAAGAACCAGGGAACTCCACCGGATTCCGAGACGCTTCAGCGGAGGGAGAAAGTTAAAGAGGTGAGATGATCTGCTGTCAATGGAAGCCCATTTCTGCCACATTAGCTTGGTAAATTATGACATGCCAAGTCATATGTATGGGATAAACGTCGAAACCGTGACATACTGTGTCATAATTGTGAGATAAAAAATCGAAATGATCACAAAAGTAAAAAATATGTTAGAGAAAACATTTTAAGTCGGAGTTGTGTTGTGTGATATGTGATAACTATGAGATAAGAAGTCGAAAGTATGACATGCCGTAATTAGAGGAAACTGTTGTTGTGCGCAAATGTGTTGACGCCACCTGTGGTCTCTTAAACCGATCGATTCAGGAAGATTTAGGCACTTTGACCAGGAGAGAGTTCAGTTTGCACGGCAGCCGCGTCGCTTGCGCTTTCTAACCAAGTTTAAGTGTGTATCGTCCTGCGTCACGCGTAAGTGGAGAGTTTAAATGGTGCTCCGAAAGTTACCCGGTGTTTCAGCATCGGGCATGGGGCTTCGTCTGTCTCAGAAATTCGTGTTTCTGCTGTTCCTGTCGGGGTTGGTTACTCTGTGCTTCGGGGCACTTTTCTTTCTCCCCGACACCGTGCGCCTCAAGCGCATCTTCCTCTCCAAGAACGAGAATCCCGCGGTGACAGTGGGCCACGACAATGAGCTTTCCAAAAAGGTGCCAGGGGATCCAGAGCATCAGCGGGCAGCTTTAAAAGGGGGCGAGGGGGCGAATGTCAAGCTCAAAGTGAGCCGCAAGCCCTCGGTCACCCATGGAGCGAGAACCGTGGAGAGATCTGTTGGGAGTAGAGCGCAGGAGGAGTGGAGTCCGGCGAGGGCGCAGGAACCGGCGGCCAAAGACGAGCGGGTCACCTCGGCCGCTCACAACGGGGAACGCGGCAGCGCTTACAGCTATGAGGCGTTTAAATCGTGTCTGCTCAAACCAGCTTTGGGGAAGAACCAGGGAACTCCACCGGATTCCGAGACGCTTCAGCGGAGGGAGAAAGTTAAAGAGGTGAGATGATCTGCTGTCAATGGAAGCCCATTTCTGCCACATTAGCTTGGTAAATTATGACATGCCAAGTCATATGTATGGGATAAACGTCGAAACCGTGACATACTGTGTCATAATTGTGAGATAAAAAATCGAAATGATCACAAAAGTAAAAAATATGTTAGAGAAAACATTTTAAGTCGGAGTTCTGATATTAAAGGTTAGAAATTATGCCATGAAAAGGCAAAACAATGATGTGTGATAACTATGAGATAAGAAGTCGAAAGTATGACATGCCGTAATTATTAGAGGAAAAAGTTGGAATTATCACAAAAGTTATAAATTATCACATAGTAAGTAATCTATTAGTATGAAATAAAAAGTCAGAATTTTTTTTATAAATTGACATACTAGATCATGATTATGGCATAAAAAGTCAATATGACATACTAATCCATAATTATGAGATAAAATAGAAATTTCGACATACTGTTATAATTGTGAGGTTATAAATTAGGGCATACTAACTCGTAATTATGGATTAAAAAGTCAGAATTATGACAAGTGAAAATGATTAGGTAAAACCTTATCATTATGAGAGAAAAAGTTGGAATTATGACAAAATGCTATGAATTATGACATGCTAAGCCATAATGCTGAGAGCAAGTTGGAATTGACAAAATTAAAAATTATTAGATAAAACATTATTTTAGAATGTTAGAATGGTGATGTACCAATTCATAAGTATGGAATAAATGTCAAAATTATGACATAATTGACAGAAAATGACACTTTTCATGTCATAGTGACTATTAATTTCAGAATTTCGACTTTTTAATGATGTTTAATAATTTTCACTCGTCATAATTCTGACTTTTTATCCCATAATTATGACTTGGTAACTGATTTAGATGATTTTTTTCCCCCTCATATTTCAGAAATAGGCTTCCAGTTGTGTAGGCTGAAAGGCTGTAGATTTGAAACCTGTAAAATGAGTTACTCTCAGAATTTCGACTTTTTAATGATGTTTAATAATTTTCACTCGTCATAATTCTGACTTTTTATCCCATAATTATGACTTGGTAACTGATTTAGATGATTTTTTCCCCCTCATATTTCAGAAATAGGCTTCCAGTTGTGTAGGCTGAAAGGCTGTAGATTTGAAACCTGTAAAATGAGTTACTCCAGTGGGAATGTGTCTGTAATAAGTGTCACTTGAGATAAGTGTTTGCTAAACGATGAATTAGTACTAAATTGCCTTGAAATTGAGTTGACATGATATGAAGATGCCAGTGCTTTTAAGCTAAAGTTATTATGGAGTCGGGGCTAGTTGTCACACTTTTACTCCGGCGAACATCAGTCTGCGTGAACTGTCTTGGCTACAAAAAACGGAACATTTCCACTGTTATTGCACAGGAAAAATAGATTTGAACACACTGACCCCTGCAGCGGGGCATGTTGTCACACGCTTGTTCTTACATATTATAGGCTTTGAACGAAGACTGAAAGAGTGAAATGATTATGAAATGCAAAACAATTTCAAACCACTTGCCAACAAAGAAAGTTGCATATAAAACACATGTGACAACTTGCCCCATACTTTTGGTTCCTTACCATAAGCTAGAATCCATAGAGTCTGCATGAGCAGATAATGACTGCTGTGTCACTTTCCTAACTGACACTGATCATGGTGTGTTTGTGTGACTGCTGCTGGGTTGAATCCAGATAAAAGCCACCTTTGGTCTGCTTGCTTTGATATGTGTAATGCAGGCATTGACTGTGCCACTGAAGGTTTGCTGTCTTCAGCTGAACGGATGATCGTTAGAGCTGTTTTTTCTGTGCTACTGAAAGCTGTTGCATCAGAAGGAGTTTCGCTCTCACATGGGCATGAGAAAGCTGAAAATGCACACCCAACACGCTTTGGTTATTACTGAAACATGAGCTTTAGTGCTGCTTTGCTTCTTTTTGTTTTGAGCATTGTGCTTTAGTGCTGTTAAAGTGCTTGTTTTGTTTTTATACTAAACATTGCTGTTATTATTATTATTATTATTGCTGATGTTTGATGTTAAGCTTTGAACTTCAGCGTGTAACTCGCTACACAGTTTGTCAGTCCCTCCAGGATTTTGCGATTCTGCGATCGCTGAATTTATCGCGAAATCAAGCAAACTCCGCAATTTTCGCAAGAGTTTTCTTCTGTTAATTTCATCTGTTGTGTTTGAGGGAAGAAAAAGCCATTGTGGTTTGGTGTGACATGAAGGGGAGAAAATGATGACCGAGTTCTCATTTCGGGTGAATTTCTCATAAATGTGAGAGTGCTGTTTATTCAGTTTCATATGGTTTCGCTGTAGTTCAAGACTAAGGTCCAGCTGGCTGACATCATTGATTTCTCTAACTTACTGAAGTCAGACTTTGTGAAACGAGTAGCTGTAGAAACACAGTACATTCCCAGTGTGCTGTGAGCGTATTGAAATGTCTTTTTATGGCTATCTATAGCTGAAATTCTGCTTTGAATTTTCTATTGTGATATCATATTTCAGTGTCAGAAGCGCTGGACGGGTTCCAGAGCCGCGGGGGGTTTAGAAAGCCACTGCTAAACTGGGTTTCTTACCTTGCTGTGGGCAGGAGTGGAAAATAAAAGGAAAATCAAGTAATCAACAACAGAACAAATAATTTTTTTTGTGCATTTGACTTTGAAGTCAACTTGAAACGTTGTTCGCAACCCACACTGAAAAAAATCCTGTTAAAAAAATTCACTATTAAAGTGTTTTGCATTGTGACGTTTAGGGATATGCCGGTATCAAATTTTCATGTTGCGATTTAATTGCTAATGCTTTTATTACGGTATACTATTTTTGCCTAAACTATGGCTGAAATGTTGTTCGCAACTCACAGTGAAAAATATTTGGTGTAGAAACTGTTTGCTCAGAAATTGGAAGTAAATGTAACATTGAATTAAACATGAAATTAAGTAGAAAAACTGAAATGGTATTTTCTTGTGAAACACACTTACAATTTTTTTTTATTTTATTCATAACTGGAGAAATCATATTTTACAGCACTTTTTACTTTTGTAATCTGACATGAGTGAAAACGGATATTCAAAGACATATTTAGGGCGGGGCTTAATTTTTTGCATCAGGAATTGATTGGATGGTCAAAAAGTGGGTGTTACTTAAGTCAGGAAGGAGTTGAGAATCCGCAAATAAGGCAAACTGTTTCAGAGACCAAGGCATTTTATGAAAATAAACCATTTTTAAAATTCAAAATAATGAAGAATCATCCGGATCGTGATTTGAAGTTAATTGCATGTTGAATGTGCCTGTTTGTTGATGTGTATTAACCGGCACTGACCTACTTGCATGCGATTTCAGTGATTCATGAAGGGTTTGCAGTGTTGCTATTAAAGCCACATGCTGAATTAACTATTTAGGTTGTGCTGTTTTTACACAGTGTTTGCCTCACAGATGCCTCTGGCTTCCCTCTGCGCCGCCTCCTGTCGGAGCCATGCATATTCATGTCTGACCTAATCATCATAAACAGCTCTATTAAATATTAATAATCCAGCAGACGAAGATCAGCTCTCCTGGAGAATCATTTCTCGACTTCTATGGTTCTCAAAAGCCATCGCTTTCTTACCTTTTGGGAGAAACTACAGATGGAAATAATGTCAATTACTTTTTGAAATGTGAACTCTGATCGTGTTAGCAGTCTTGGCAAACAGTGCATGCTGAAGTATGGTAGTTTTGCTCATTTGTCAAGCAAAGTTAATCTGTTCGGCCAATATTATTGAATTTGCATTCAGCAGGTGTTCAGCGCTGTGTGCTTTAGGCTTGAAGGACTCAAAAACAAGGACTGACTTTACATATGTTCTCCTTCAACCATCGGAACTATCAACAGTGAGTAAGCTTGACGTGAAGGAAGTCAAATATTGACCTTAGAGTTTCACTGATCCAAGTTGCAGTTTATTTAGGCTCAGAATCGCCTGCTAGGACTGGATCGGGTGGTTTGATTGACATGTGAAGCGACCAATCAGTGTTCGTTTCTGTTGTGTGACTTTCAAGGATGAGCTAATCTGAAACCAGATCTAACTAGTCTATTAAAACTGGTTTTGAAACACAAATGATGTCAAAACTAGTTCTAGGAAGCATCATTGTAGCCGTTTGGAAACTTGTGAATACTCAAGAATGGATCTCAAGAAAACATTTCAATGCAAAATTTAAGACCGATTCCGCATTAAGAAAATTAAGCCTATTATAACGTTTCACCGTGTGGTGTTAATTTTAATATCACTGCTTATTTAGCCTGAATCAAACATAAATCAATGCTTATTTTGCATTAATAATATCAGCATATTTTTCATTAAGAAAACGAACCCTGTTTTTGGACCATTATGATGTTTTGCATCAATGCACCATTTGATGTGCCTTAATTTTAATTTCAGTGCCTAATAAATCAAACATAAATGAGTAGCTATTTTGCATAAATCAAATGCAAATCAATGCTTATTTTGCATAAATATTATCAAAATATTTTGCATAAAATGAACCCTGATTCCATAGGTGTTAATTTTAATATCAGTGCTTTTTGCATAAATCAAACAAATTGATGATTAATTTGCAAAAATCAATGCTTATTTTGATAAATAATACCATATTTTGAATAAAGAAAATAAAGCATGTTTTAAGACCATTATGATTATGATTGCTTTTTTTTGCATAAATAAGATCAACATTTTGTGTAAAAAATAAATAAAATAAAAATAAAGCCCATTTTTGGTATCATTGTTTCTTTTGTATTGTGTCATTAATATTAAAATTATCAGTGCTTATCAATTATCAAGATCAGTGCTTATTTCACATAAATCAATGCTAATGCATGAATCAAACAAATCAATGCTTATTTTGCAAATATAATATCAAAATATTTTGCATAAAGAAAATAAATCCTTTTTTAGGACCATTATGATGTTTTGCTTTGTAGCGTTAATTTTAATATCAATGGTTATTTTGCATATCACTTTT